AAGAAAAACTCCCTCTCTACACACACACACACACACACACACACACACACACACACACACACACACACACGAATATTAGTCATAAAAAGGAAGGAAACCTTGCCATTTGCAACAACATGGATAGACCTTCAGGGCATTATGCAAAGTGAAATAAGTCAGAAAGAGAAAGACCATATGATCTCACTTATATGTGGAATGAAAAAAGAAAAAACCTGACTTCATAGATACAGAGAACAGATTGATGGCTGCCAGAGGTCGGGTGGCGGATGAGTGAAACGGTCAAAAGGTACAGACTTCCGGTTATAAATGTCATGGGGATGTAACGTACGGCACGGCGACTATAGGTAATACTGTTACTGTATTGCACACTTGAAAATTGCTGAGAGGAAATCTTAAAAATTTTCATCACAAGAAAATTTTTTGAAAAAAAAAGACACTGAGCTCTAAATTTTATAAGAATGAATTTCATAGTATGTGAATTATATCTTAATAGAACTGTTAAGCCCCTCATCCTCCCTCCTCCCTCCCAAAAAAATAACTAAGTCCCTCTTGTGCTCAGAATCCTCCCATGGCTCCCAATTCCCTCAGAGTAAAAACCAAAATCCTCACCGTGGCCCACAAGGCCGCACGTGATATGGTGGTCCCTGCCTTTCTCCGCCCTCTCCTCCTTCTCTTCCCTTTGCTCACTGCCTCAGACACGCTGGACACATGCTCTTCTGCCGACATACCAGGCACCGTTTCGGCCTCAGGGCCTTTGCACTGGTTGACCCCTCAGTCTGGGATATTCTCGTCCAAGATACCCACAAGCCTCATTCCTCCTTCAGACTCCTGTTCAATCAATCGTGTTTCCTCCTCAATTAGACCCTCCCTGATCACTCTGATTACAAACTCCTCTGCTCCCCCAGCCCACCCCAATCCCTCATTCCTCTCCTCCATTTTTCCTCGTTGTCTTTATCACATTGAAAAGATTATATAGTGTATTTATTGTGTCAACAGCCTCCCTCGGTTTCCATCTCTGTGACCAGTTCCTTGTCTATCCTTCTAGAAATAATCCATATCGCAAATACACTATGTAGGGCAGTGCTTAAGAGCCTGGACTCGTAGGCAGCCTGAGCTTAAATTCTGGCTCTGCTATTTGATACCTTCAGGTAAGCTACTTAACCTCTCTGTGCCTCAGTTTCTCTAGCTGTAAAATGGGCATCAGAATAGTATCTGCCTCCCTTGAGGATGTGAGGAGTCAATGAGTGTACATACAGAGCGCTGAGAACAGAGTCTGGCATGTCATAAGTGTTTGATGAGTGTCGGCTGTTATTTTTTATGAGCAAGCCCTAGACTCTTAAAAAGGAAGGAAGGTTATCCATATTACTTTGACCATTTTGATCACTGAGTGGTCTGTGTGGCCTGAGACAAATCCCGTCCCCTTTCTGGCTTCTGTGGCTTCTTTTATGGAACGGAGATTGGGCGAATATTCCCCAGGGCCTGATGAGCAATGCCTTTCACTAGCAAACTAAAAAATAACTTTGATTTATTGGTACTCTAAAAGAAATACATGTTTATCCACACGCTCTACCCTGTGGAAGCTCCACAGGGCAGAGACTTTTTGTCTGTTTTGTTCCTTTGCTGTGTTCCCAGTGCTGTGTCCCTACTGGGGACTAGAGATACAGATGAGCACAGCAGGCCTGGTCCCCGCTCTCTCTGACCTCAAAGGGACAGAAAGGTGAACCCACCCAGGTAGACGCAAAGCAGCAACAAATACCCATTCTTCAGACTGTGAAGTCCGTGAGGGTTGGGTCCTAGTCCTGGCTCCCTCTTGCTGTGTGACCAGGGCAACTGATGGCCCCTCTCTGAGCCTCTATTTACCCATCCTTGAAATTAGTACAATTATTGGGCGTACACAATAGAAAAACAGGCAAAGGATGTGAGCAGGACAAGAAACACAAGTGGGTCAATAAAAAAAAAAAAGAAAGAAACGGGGAGGGGGACCTGCTCATTAAAACAACACAGTTCTCAAACTATGTTTGGGGAGGGAGTGGAAAAAGAGGCATCCCAAAATATGCTGTTGCAAAGGGCAGTCGAGGGCAGTCTTCGTGGAAGGAAGTGTGGCCGTACTGATCCAAAGCTTTTAAATGAGCAGACTCTAGTGACCAGGCAATTCCATTTCTAGGAGTGGATCCCATGCACCTTCACACATACATGCAAAGAGGTGCGTACAAGGACATCACTGTAGTAAGATTCATAAAAACAAAGGAATTGGAGAGCTTTCAATAGGGTTAGATTATGGGACTCACCACAGTGAGATCCTATGCAGCTACTGCAGTGATAGGAAAATATGGCATTTAAGTTTAGATGAAATGGACAGATTCCTAGAAGAATAGCAGTTAGCGAAACCGACATAGGAATAGAAAAGCTAAATGGTACTAGAACCATCAAAGAAATTCAATTCTCGATTAAAATCCTTCCCACAAAGAAATCTCCAGACGCAGATGACTAAAAAAAAAAAAAAAAATTGATAAACGATACATACATATAGTTCGATTTATGTATATAGTTTTATATACACAGTATAACAATAAGTATATGCATATTTAGTTATATATATTTATATAATTCCTTAGATCCATATATGTATGCAAACATACATGTATGCACATGATGTGCATCATACTGATTATGATGACTTCTGAGACAGGGGATTTGTGACTGTCCCTTTATCTACATTGTTTCCGTCTTTATGAAACCATATTTCCGATCAAACGAAACTCCATTAAAGGTCAGATTCGTTGAAGTAAAATAGCCAATGGTAGGAAAATGACGCTGAGACCCACCCTGGCATCTGCCATCTGGTTGTGGACACTGCCCTATCCAAAGCAAACAGTAGTCGCTCAATAAATGTTAGTCCAAAGGAAACACACTTCTCCCACTTTAACACATGAGTCCACCGCATATGTAACATTGTGCATTTATTTACAAAGAGATTAGAGAAACACACAGAATCTGGCCCCCCTGTGCAACGGGGAGTCACCATTGTCGTAATAAATACAGTAATTTTTTAAAAAAGAGAAAAATACTGGATTGGAACAGCTGAGGGTCATCCTGAGCCACCCCCATTCTCACTCACAGGGGGCCCATGAGATAGAAGCCATCTTCCTTCTCCTCTCCTACCTCCCAATCCTCCATAATTGTCCAGGGATAGA